CCCCAAAACCCCAAAACCCCATAAGGGAAATATAAGATTTTAAAATTGAAAAATTAAAGTTAATAATATAACAACTCAAATACCGAAATCAATCAGAATTAAAGACGCTCTATCTTTATAAATGATTACAGCCTCTGACACTCAATCATGTCAATCAATCATCATTGCATCTTCATTTTATTTCTATTATTAATATTGTTACTAATGGAGGTGGTGCTCACTAAGCTAGGGTGAGTTTGAACCTCCCTTGCTTCTAAGATCATTTTGGTTTACCTTCATAACTCTGAATGGAGGCTGAGCAATTTAGTTTTTATGATATCCAATTTAATTCTATTGTTAAGCTTGAAAATTTCCTCCATAGGTTTGTTATTCGTCTAAATCTTTTGATGAGATATTAACCTCCCCTTGAGAGGTTTATTACATTTCGCTTACTCTCATTCCTTTAGAAAAATCTTGATTTTCAAGCTATTGCACCAAAATGTCACTGGAGGATATTCTAGCATCCTACTTGATATGATCCTTTACATCATCAAAGTCATCCTCATTAGAGAGACTTTCATAACTTCTGTCTTCTTCTAAATTTTCATCACTAAATATAGCATCATTGTCTTTATCATAAGCGGTCGGCTTGTCAACTTTTTCTTCTGCATTTGATTTTCCTCTAAAACTGGACTTTCTTTGATTATCCTTTTATGCTTTTCCAAAGAATGAAGATTTTCTATTCAGGCATGGTGAGTTATAACCATCATCTTGATACTATCCAATGTTTAAATTTTCAAACTTTTGACTAGATTTAGGTTATAACCTGCTTTTATCTATATTGAAATGCCTTTATTACTAGGGTGAATGTGACTATCTATTTTAATTTTGGGGTTTAAATTTGCTGAATCCTTGCAAGTTTTTTTAACTCCTATTATAGCCTACGCTTCCATTGCGCTTAAAACCTGGAACTCTTAGATTATCAGAATTCAGATTCATGTCTCCATTTGACATCATATTTAAATCAGCCGACATTGGTGAGTTATCTAGATTTATCTAGGCAGATCCATGAGAAAGTTCATAGTTAGAACCACTTAAATTAAGGAAAATTTTCGACTTCATCAAAGAAGTGGAAATTACATCAAGATTTTCTTTCTGAACTACTTCACCTTTGGCCCACTGACTATCTAATTAAGTTTGAGCTTTTGTAAACCTAGTTGCTAGTGATACCTAGTAAAAATTAAAAATCATATCTTTATTTACATTCCACTCAAATACGGGAGACTTAAAGCAATTAATATTCAGTAGAAGTCCAGCATTAAAGATTTCCAATGTGTAAGCATTTTTAAGTTGTTCTATTAGATAGTCGTATTTTGGCTCCTCCTCAAAATTTAAAAGTAGTACATACTTTAAACAATCTTCGAGGCATTCTAAATTTTAAATTCGTCATTGCTGTAAAAATTACAAGGTATCATCTTGAAGAGTGATTTAGTAACTCTCAATTGAAGCCTCTGCACTATCATCTACTTAAAGGTACCTTAGAAGTCTCGCCATGGCAAAAAGTTATTGTTATATAAGTAGATCATCAAGTAGAATACTGATTCGATATCGTCTCTGCGAGATTTGTTATTTCCTCTGCAAGAATTCAAAGATGCGAACATAAAATTTCCAGAAAAGTAAGATAAGTTTTATTTCTGCACATGGAACCCACTATTGAAGTCAACAAAGGGTTGACTGAGTCCGAAGTCGATAAGGTAAATTTTAGCAGGATCTTTGTAGCCGATCAGAATATTCTCTAATTTAATGTCATTGTGCATCCAGCCCAAAGAATGCAAGTCTCTTATTCTTTCAATCTAAAACAATTAATACCATATTCTTACTAGCTATATTGTAATGAGAAGAGTAGAGGCCTTTGAAAGGCGTCTTTTAGGTGATGCTTCTAAAAGATGCCTGAGGTTAGGTCCTAATGCCTAGATTTATATTAATAATATAAAATGTATACCTCCAATATCATTTCTGACTAAGTTACTCCTTTGATGGATGAGAGTATTTTGGGAAATCCTAAATACACTCGGTTAAGTTCATGTGTTTTTACCTTGAAACTGCATTTTCTAGATGTGTCTTAGTATTTTTTCTTCTTTATCGTATGTTTCCTACTCATTTGGAGGATACTAATGGAATTAAAAAAAAACAATTTTACGATTTTAAGAATGCTCTCAACTGATGGCTCGCTATTCCCTAGTTAATCGTTTGTGTTAAACTTAAAATAAAAGACAGTTCCCTGTGAACTTCTTTATTTATCACTAGTTATAATGAGGTTTGAATGTAGAAATTGGGTTTCGTTCATATATCTCTTTTATATAATAGCTATAACTATTTAAATATATTATATTTTATCCGAGAATGATACTGGAATATTTAAATTTGGTTGAGGTCACAATTGTAGTGATTTGATAAGTCTAATAGATGAAGATGTTTAAATTGAAAATTATCAGATAGATATCATATGCATTAATTAAATTATTTGTCTTGTCATATTAAAATGTCTAGATATCAAGTTATACGGGTAAAATAAGTTAATAACTTTAACTAACACTCAATTATCATCATTTTCATCAATCATATCTGCTCCCAGAGCTTTAGCTCTATCGTTATTTTAAGTCGACTTAATGGTAACTGTTTTTGTTGCCCCCTTGACAGCTCTAATTGATTTCAATTTTCTCACGTTAACTACTGGCTCACCAACTATTTTACTAACCTCCCTAAAATAAATTAAAAGATTGAAATTAATACTTGACATCATTCTGCAATTCAGTCAGTCTTTGCTAGTTTTTCATTATTAATTCATCCAGCTCTTTGTCAAATTCATCCTAGGCGGATTCCTGTAATGCCAAGAAATCTTCGTTAACCATCACCATATCCTCCTTTTTCCTCATAAATGCTCCTGCACTTGTGGAAGGTCTTTAGATTGCTATGTTAGACCTCATATCTCTCTAGTAATCCAGTATCTCCTATTGCTTTGTCTTCTCCAATTACACGATTCTCTATTCAAGATCAGATTGCTAAATCAATAGCATGCCATTTCTTTTTTTTAGATTTTTATTCTCTTCAACTAGATCTCTCACCTTATCATCATAAGTCAAAGACTTTAGACTTTCATACTCCTCTCTGAGGTCACGATTCTCTTCCTCGATTATATACATATTTTTAAGCTCAAGTTTAAGTCTTTGATTTTCTTTATACACCTATTCGTAGTGCTTTTGCTACAATTTCACCTTATAATCTTCATTTTCTACTATAAGCTCAGCGCATTTGGCTTCAAGCTTTTTAATTTCATCATGCATCCAGGTATTTCCATCATCATCAATACTCTGTTTCTAGAATTTTACAGACTTTTTAGTCTTTAAGGGCTATTACTGGTTTTCCTTTAATACATCTCTATCTTCTGCAAATTATTGCTGTTGGCTGCCATCATTTTACTGAGATTCAATTGATTTCTTTATAATACCTGATCCAGGGAAGGGTACTGAAAATATATTTAATGAATCTAATCAATTTACTCTTATTCTGAATGAAAAACTATTCAGCTATATCTCTGTCTAGTTCCTTAATTTGATCTTCGTCTAGTACTTCTAGCCTTTTAAGTCTCATTGTTATCTCATACTTAAATCTCACATTTGATGAAACCTAAAAGATATTAGAACTATATTTAGTTGTTACTGGATTTCCATCTATAGAGAGCTCTTTCAGATTTGATAATTTTTCAATAACATCTATTGCTTTTTTGTCGTTGAAAATTTCATTGTTAAAGAGTCCCAGAACCTCCAATTTAGATAAACTCTTTAATGGATCAATAACTAGAATGTGATTCCTGTTAAGCCAAAGTTTTTATAGCAAAACTAAGTCCTCTAGGGGTCTGGAAAAAGTAAATAAATATAAACGTAATAAGTTACTGAATATCTGAGATTTAGTTGAAACTTAAATTTAGTTCGACGAGGGTTGAAATTTAGCAAATGCCAAATATGTCTTTGATCAAATTATGGGTAGCATATATTGCCTCACAATTCACAAGGTCCTCAACCTTAAACCCATCCTGCTTATTATCATCAAATATCTCAATATTTTTCTCTCTCAGTATAATCTAGATTAATATGACTAATAAATATTTATACAGCTTAAACTTCAGAGAGCTAATCGCATTGAGATGCTTCTAATATCAACTTCTTAGTAACTCTCTCACCTTATGCATTTTTCTTTACCTTTTTCCTATTGTTAAACTCTTCAATATCTTCCTCAATTTTCCTTTCGATCATCTCTAAAGTGAATATCTTTTTCTTAATTCTTTATTCATCTTTCTTGGTAGTTGTTGCTGCTGTTTGGGGTCTCCGAGCATAATGAGAGCCAGCGCCACCCATCATATCTCTTAGAATTTATGCTTATTGAGAAGACATTTAGGGATTCTGTCTTCCATGACTGGTAACTGGTCTTGGCGCAGCTTAGAAAAAGCCCATTTTACTTTGATTAAACTTATCTTCCTAAAATTTCTTAGGCTGTATATCTTTCTTTTAAGCAAGAGGAGCAGTACTGAGGATAATTTGATCTCTGGGGATAGTCTAGGCTTTCTTGGGTGATATATTTGGAGCATGTCTCCTTTCGATATGCTGCTTAAGCAGATCAGTGCTGACGAATTTCCTTCCACAAGCTCCATAAGGACATCCGTATTCATCATCCTTAGCGGAAGCAAAATTTCCTTTATAAGCTTTCCTACTAGAATTTTGAGTGATATTAGTACTAGTATCAATCTATTCCTATTATAAATCGTCAACTTAATCCATATTCTCCACTTCATCTGAGTATTGATTATCATTCTTATCGAAATGATCGCTTGAACTGTCCATTGATGTTGATAAGCGCTATTATATTATTAATTTCAAATTTAAATTCTCAAATTTAATTTGATCACTGAGTAACGGGGTTTTGGGGTTTTGGGGTTTTGGGGTTTTGGGGTTTTGGGGTTTTGGG